ATTATCTCAAGCACAGTAATGAATATGTGTTACAAAAAGACAGAGTAACGGTATTACACAAAGGCAATCATATAATATAAAATGGAGATAGAGAATTTATTTACCACATTCTTGTCTCATTAACTGGCCAGATAGAGACTGGCCTGAAACAGAGCACCAGTGAAAAAAAATGGCATGAGAACTATGCAAAGACTGGACAAGAAACCACTTGTTTGCAGACCAAGTAATTTAACAGAAACGTCATTGTAAATAACACTTTAATTAATAATGGTTGTTCACAAGAAAAGACCTATTATTTTGAGTTATTAGAATTAGTATAATTTTATAAAGTGGTTAGGTACCTTTTTTCTTCCTTTCAGGTGAACAAACCTTCATGATTCTAAAGAAAAAGGAAGTAGACATTTCAACCAAAATAACTACATCTGTGGTAACATGTAATGGGGTGTACAACATTTCAGTGCAAATTACCTCACATGCACGTGGAGTTTCAAATTTGTCACTAGCTTTTCAAAACTAACCTAAAAATAAGTATCTAATATAACTAAAGTTCATTTTTAGTTTCATTACTACATGTACTAGAAAGATACAGAAATCATCCTTAGCTAGTTTATAAGCTTTTAATTCAAATATTGTAGCTGAAAGAGATTCATAGTCATGTTTGTTGTGAAAATCGCAAAAATATCTTGGCTTTATACATGTCATCTTGATATCTGAGACGTCCTGTAACAATATATATTTGTTTCGGTTCACCATTAATAATAAACGACCAACAGCACAAAAACTTGGCTTCAGTAAGAAGAGCTATGTGTACAAATACCTTTACCTATATATTATGCTAGAATGATATACGAGCACTAAGATACATAATAATTAGTGTTATCATTCAATACAATTTTCCCTCCCTTTCTATAGGCCCAGAGCCCACCACATGACCTGCAAATAAATGCCTCCAAATAACAGTCTGCTCATGTGCAGTACTGTCTAAACGTGTTTTGTTGCAAGTAATATTCTGCTCATGCGTAATTGAAACCGGCCCACTCTTGGGTGAAAAATGGCAGATCACTTCCCTGAGCTGTCAGAGAGTGATTTAAATATGACAACAAACTTGATAATCAAATGATAAAACAATACCATTGAACTCAGTTATCGCAAAATACCATGATTTGTCAGTGTCTCACAGATCAATTATTTGCCTAGACCTCAAACTTTGGCAAATAACTGATCTGCTCACCAGTGTCAAATCACAATGATAACATTTTGCTTGAACTCGTCCAATAACATTTAATATTGGTGTCACTAATCATACATTGCTATTAAGCGAACTATGTAATATGGGCAGTGTTTGTCAATATTTTGCTCCATAAAATATGCTGTTTCATTCATTCATTTATTTATTTATATTAGCAATGTTGGAAGTGAAATCAGGGCTGTTACCGTCCGTCAAGAGTTCTGTCCTCATCAGGAGCATCCTTTGCTTTTCGTGCTTCCCATTCATTACTAAATGTCACAAATCCAAAACTGCAATATGAGACAGAATAAAAAGTTCCAGAACCAAACAAAAAAGAAACAAAGCAAAATATATATATATATATTTTTTAATATGGAGTATTACTTGATATATTTATTTCAATCATGGTTAAAAATAGAAGTTTAGTTCATAATATAAGAGATTCATGAGCAGGATTGAAGTTACTGTGATCAAACTTGCAGCCTTCTGAGCATGTAAAAGTTGAGAAAGTGCTTGATTAGCAATGCCAAATATTGAAGTCTCATGTCAAAGTGGACTGCATTGATGATTGCACCCTCAATTGATGGCAACTTACCAACATTAACTTCAATAATTTTATGCTAAAATTTCACTGGATTGACATGCAAGACAGCTGGACAGAAAACTTGTTTG